GGACGGACAGACGGACGGACAGACGGACAGACGGACATGGCTAGATCGACTCGTCTAGTGATGCTGATCAAGAATATAAATACTTTATGGGGTCGGAAACGTCTCCTTCACTGCGTTGCAAGCTTCTGACTGAAATCATAATACCCTCTGCAAGGGTATAAAAAAAAAAACACCAATTCTACGCATATCTTATCGACCTTCTAATGTTGTGTTCCCCCTATTCAAGTTATTTTTATCAAGCATTCCAATGCTAACTGTTCGGTAACGGTAAGTATTACCGTAATGCCGCGATATTCATACTCACTTGGACAATGGTTTTATCCGATTTTCAAAGTCGGCGGGCGAAACGAAACGGAACGAAGAGAATCGAGTCAAAGGGAAACGGAAATGAAATTTGGTATGGGCAAAACAAAGAGCGAACAATGCGAATGAGCGGCACAAAGCAAAAGGGCGAAACCGGAGAACAGAGCTTTCAAGGTGGTTTGAGAAAAGCTTTCACTCTCTCTCCCAGAAAAGCAACTACAACTGCAGATTCAGATACAGATACTTTTACAATCGTGTGTCATCGTTCTCTGCTTAGATTTCGTTTTTGTTTTTGTTTCGCCTTTTGTTTTGGTTTTTTATTATGCTAATGGGCGCATTGTTCCGCACTTTGTTTTGCTAGTTAAACACGTTTTCCAAGAGGCAAAAATAAACGGAACGAACATTTACATTTCAGAAACCGCCACAATCCCATAATACGCATGCAGGCGAGAGGAAACCGATAACTTGGCGCGTTCTCTCACGTTCACTGGTCGCCGGGAAACTACTTCCCCCATTTATTTATCGCATCTCACATGTTTTGGCCCATTTAATCAGCTGTCTAATCGCAAAAGCTGTCTACCGTTAAAGAAAAGCGCAAGGAAAAGCTCCCCAAAAGTGCAACGGTCGATTTTACAGATCGATTGGCTTCGATTGGTTTTTGGCCCGGCAACTATGCAGTTTTAAATTTATTTTACTTAACCATAAATTTACTATAATTATTCTTCATAAAATGTATTGAGGCATTTCCCATGACTTACAAATCTTTTTGGAGTTTATCTATAATAAATTTTTGAATCATACAAACACAAAAACCTATTTGGATAATCATCCTAAATATAATGACTTAATCTGAAGAATTTCCATAAAGCCGTATGATTTATGACTATACCAATTCAAGATTTCAGATGAATCATATAAAATATATAAAACATTCCGAATTAAATTGCGAAGAAAAAATATTTTTTAAGTTTCGATTGAACTGATAGATGGAAAACTCGTGCATATATACATTTATTTTTCCAAAAAGAGTAAATTTTTAAGATCCGTTTTAGAAAGAAATGCGGCTTACATCTATATTTCCGAGAACATTTTTTTTATAGTTCCGTTTAAGAAAGTAATACGGTTTTTGAATTGAAAGCATAAAGCATTTCAACTTAAATACATTCATATCTCTTTAAAGTTCCAGTTTGTACAAAAACATGCTCCTAGCGCTAGCATGCAAACTTTTTCTAAATATTGATTTGTAATCTTACCAATCGCAATTAACGACAATCCTCCCATTCCTGAATCAATTCGAAATATTTGGCAAGTTTTCAGGAGGACCTATTTTAAACCGCCGAACTGCTGCTAATTACACGTGTTCATCTTTTATTTTAGTAAAGAACAAAAAATCGTTCTTTTTTATCCCAATGTTTACGATGTAAAGTAATCTATTTTGTTTCATTCAGTTGTTGTGATTACGAAAATAGCTTTTAGCGATAATTATCAAAAATTGTCCGATGTGAGTTATTTTGCTTAAGAAAATACATTTTCTTAAAAATAAGAAATATATTTAATGCCTAATTGGTTTTTGTAATGTAAAAAGCCTGACCAACAATTTAAGGTATTGCTACTTATTAATGAAAAAAAGTTTTAAAATAATGCTGGACTTAAGTTATTTATGTCCCTTCTTTTTTATTCGCTTTGCACAAAAAAAAGGTAATTGAATAAGACAAACTTTGTAGTTCTTTGTCGAACTCTTCTATATATTATTTAATTTGTCACGACTTATATTTCGTAGCACATTTGGAACACTTGGCTTACACATGGCGATTGGCTATCACTGTCCTGCTGCGATTCGACACCCACTTCCACTGCTCACCGAAATCAACTGAGGTTGCACTTGCGCCGCTTGGGGCTTTTAAGGCCCCAGGCCCCCAGCGAAACTCCAGATATTAAAATGCCCGGCACAGCGGGCGATGCACCGTTACGCACTGAATTATCATTCGAATGGAGGGCAGTAGACGCACCATAACACACCATGCCACACCACAACACACCGACCGAACCGATCCGATCCGAGCCAGAACATACATATATATATACACCCAGAATCGGAGCAGGGCCAAGTGATGGGGCCGATGTGATGTGCTTACCCCAAATTTCATATTTGCGACACGTGAGTCGGATCTTCAAATGCATGTCAACAGCCCGGAGATTTTCCGATCGCGACTATATAGTTATCCGCTATCCGCCGGTTTCTTGCGGCTACGTTCAGAGTTGCGGCGTAACTGAATCCGGCTCGGAATCGGTATCGGATTCGGAATCTGAAATCCCCGCGGAAGCCCATGGCGGATGTGCCATTAGTGGGCAAGGCAATTGCGACCGCTCGCCAGCAAAGGTCGAAGGGTTGGGGGTTAGGGGGTGGCCTATAGGAAGACACGCACCGCCACTGCACTGAATGTGCCCCTAATTAAGCCCACCCCCTGACCACCTCTCACCCCGATGAGCCGCAGGCGAAGCCGAAGCCCAAGTCAAGCCGCTTGTTCCAAATCCAAAGCACTCGTCATTCGGGGTCAACGAATTGAGCCGCAGCCACAGTCCAGCTTCTAATATTTACATTTTGATTAGTTTCTAAACTTTATTCTGCCTACTTTCACTTAAATTTTTAACAATAAAATTCCTAATTACCTGGTTGATTAGTTATTGAATTGGTTAGGGCTTAAATTTGAAGATCAAGGGCTGGAATAATTTGGGAATATCCTAACATAAACTAAGTAATTCCCAAGTCATAGTAAAATTAATGTCATTAAAATCAAAAGCTGATTTTCTAACTAACTAACTACTAAAACTATAAATTCTGATTAATCTCAAGCTGGTTTTAATGTCCCTTGGCCTTCCCGGAAAATCAGAATTTTTTCTGAAAACCAACACAATAACTCAAACTATAAAAAATGTAAAATATTTTGCAGTAATATAACTCAATGTATTGGATCAATTGTGCTCAACTTAATTTTAATTGTGCATTAGTCACTTTAGGCAAGCTTGACTGTACTCACTAAAGGAGGGCAGTTGACTGTGAGGAAGGGTCTAAGTTTCAATTAAGTGTTGCTGGCCTGGTCTCGAACTGGAGTTTAATTAGTCTTGATTGGGAACGAAATGCGGAAGTTCTTACTCCCCTGCAAAAGAAGTTGACATACACTGATGGGTTTAGGTGGTAATCCAATTGGTCTATGAAATATTTCTTAGAAATTTTAAAAAATTATAGCTTGTTTTGGATTAATTATTTTTTTGTAGTTATAGGAAATATATTTAACCCAGTCGTCTTATCTGATTTAGTATTATTATGATTTGTGAACAAGCATTACACATCGGGGCATAACAAAGGTTATCATGAACTAATAAGATTAGAATGTCGAGAGAAATACCCCCACATCATGAGGTTTATTAAAGAGACAAAACGTATCAAAAATGAAAAGTCTATTTCTGCAAGGGTAAAGACCTCTATAACAAAGAAAACACGTCAGAGAATTTTAATTTTATCAAATCACTTTAACAGAAGGCTAATAAATATAATTTTTTGTATCAGCTTTAAGGTAATTATAATTTCAGCAAATTGAAAAAAAGAAAAGTGGTTAAAAAACCTAAAAAAAATGTAACGAATTTAATCGTTAAAAAATCTAAATTTTTAAAATTACAGTAAGCTAGACTTTTGATGTTATAATCCCAAAGTATTTTCTTTAAATCTGTAACTATCCACAGTTTGAATAACAAATGATATCCCACGAAATATTGCACCTCCAAGTGCTAAGTGTTAGGGTATCGATGGAATGTACCCACGCCTATTGCCATTTTCCTTTCGTTTGGCTTTCACTTTCAAGGCCCGGCCCACAAAAGCAGGCGCAAAGTAAAGAAAAGAATCAATGGGCGTCCGAAGAAAGTGAAAATGTCACCGACAGTAAATATAAATAGAAGAGTTTACCCATTTTCGGATATTCCGTGCAGGATTCCGGACGCTGATGGATGTTTCTGCGGGGCTATAATTAAACTCCGGGGTAGTTTTGTGCACTTAGGAACTATTTTCAATTGTAATTAAAGCCCGTGCACGACTGGTTAAATGTTAACAGTCATTTCGCGGCTATTAATAATCGTTTTAAGCGTTCTGCCGGTTATTAAACAAACAAACTAAACGTGAACCGCAATACGAAACCGGCGCACCGCTGATTTAAATGCGACTAAAATCACAAGCAATGTTTGCCAAGTCGAGTTCAAAATCAGACTGTTGCGAAGCTTTGAATCTGCTGTTAAAAACGAGCTGTTGCCTCGCTGTTCAGAGAAGCGCTTGAAGCAACTGTTAGGTAAAATGTTATGCCATCTGTGGGGTGTAATTCAAAAATTTAATAGCGTAAGTAATTAATAGTTATATATTTGTAAAAATAAAATGCATTCTAACTATATTGGACTTGCATTTAACTGGTTTACGATACTATTTTAAAGAATACAAATTAAATATTTCTGTTCTCATAAATTTCAATAAAATATATGCACATTGAATTTATGGTGTAAATAAAGCAGGTTTTAATTTTTTGTTGTAAATATAACGATAGACTCAATTAACTTTATTCAAATTTAGCGGGCTGAGCTGATTACCGTTACCGATAAATATCGCCATAAATATATCGATAAATGCAAATAACATGCACACTGAAATGCAGCCCTGAGCCGCGTTGCCAACTAAAAGAGCTCAACTCGCAAATAAGTGTAAATAAATGCGTTATTTCGGTGAGATCGCGAGCTGAAGCTGATGCCATGCCACCGGCGTACGACCTTGGCCACTCCGGAGAGGCGTACCACCCCCTGGACACTGGCAGTGCTGGCGGCAAGGACGCCAGTGCCCCGAACTCCACCTCCGCCCAAATCCGCCACCCGATGGGAATGCGGACGTCCTGGATGCGGATGTTCCGCCGCTACAAGCTGCCGGCGGTGCTCCTGATGTTCCTGCTCCTCGTATCCTGCCTTGCGTACCGAATCCTCAGCGTAGGTATCCGGGATCCCCCAACTTTTGGGATCTAGAAGCGAACTCCTGTGGAGATCGGAGCTAATAGCTGAGGTCACGATTTCACGATGACTGATAAGGCTACGATTATACTCTCAAATTGATGTGTTACTTATCTAGATAACATTACAAATATCCAAGATCTTCTCATATGGTATACATAGTAAAGTCAGGATAGATTAACTTTAAAGAAATGGTAATAGTCTAGAAGAGCGGCCTGAGCACCAAAAACCGCTAAAAAATTGCCCTCGATGGACCGCGATTTCTTAGGAATTTACGTGCAGAAGATTATTTGCGGAAATGCATTGATCTCTTGTAATTGCATTTCAAAGTTGCGTGTTTTGCTATAAAAACAAAGTAGGATTTTCTAGGATTTTGAGGTGTTTTGTGTCATTTTGCTATAAAAAAAATATGGGCTTTCCGTTTGTTGTCAAAATAATAAGCGTTCGAAAAATTGGTTAAAAATGTTAAATTGTTTTTATAGCAGGCCAGACCCACACAAATTACAATTAATATCCTCGATGGACCGTGATTCCTAAGAGCTTGTGCGACCATGGATGACCAACATATACATTTTTAAGATGAATCTTAAGAAATCGCAATCCGAGCAAAAATTTTTTTTTTTTTTTTTTTTTTTTTTTTTTTTTTTTTTTAATTTGGTTTATCTTTTTAAATACTAACAATTAACTATCTTAAATTTCAGGAAACCACCGATACGGACAATGAAAAGATAAGTTAATATACTGTAACTTCCTAACCAGCATTTTTTAAATAAATAAATATTTACTGTAACCAATCATTAACCATAGCTTTAATATAGATTTTATTTAAAAAAAACGATTTACACCTAAAATCCGATGTCTACTGATAAAAGGCTGAAAAGCATGTTCGTATCATCTAAAACATACAAACTAGTTGTTATATCGATTATATTATTAACTTGATGTGTTTCCTATCTAAATAACACTACAAATTTTCAAGATCTTCTCATTTTACTTTAATACGCATAATAAAGTAAGGATAAATTCACTTTAAAGAAGTATAGCACTCAGATTTTGTACTTATCTCGGTTAACATATCTTATATATAGCGTCAGTACATCCTAACTTATCCTAATGTACATTTAAAAACACGAAGCAATATTATTCTTTTAATCTATCATGATTATGCACATCTATAAATAACACATTTTAAAATTTTTAAAAATTCCTATATTATAATATAAATTTTAAGAATTTGTAAAAATTTCAAAAGTTATGTATTTTTTAAACATTTAAACTAGTAAAGATACTGCTATTTCTTGACCACGGTTATATTATCTTAGCTTAACGTTATCTAAGGTTGTCAAAGATATTAACTTATCAGTAAAAAATATTGATCAAATAATAACAGCCATTTTTTCTAGACTGAGCAAGATGCCCCACCCTTGGATCTTCATCGCAGCTCACCCCTTTTGGATGCCTACGAGGATTTTAGCGCCATGAGGGCGGGAGATTTGAAGATGCGCATCGAGGAGATGGTGAGAATCAAGGTGAGTACGCGGTAAATTCAATAAGACCCTCATTTAATCCATAGTTTACACCTTTCAATCCAGAGCACCGTGTCTGTGGAGCTGCGCGAACTGGAATCCCGTCGCCAGAAGCTGCAGTCGGACATAAGTCAGTACAACCAGAAGATCGAGGAGCTCAAGCAGGAGCTTCTCAGGGAGCAAACGGAGCTGGAGCGCCTCAAGATCTCGGTGGAGCAGGCGCAGGTGGCCCAGCGAGAGGCAGTACAGCGGAATACCCCAGATTTGGCACTGCCCCGCTCTCTCCTACCCAACACACTGCCCAGGAAGATGAATTCCATCTCTGGAGGGATGGCAGCCAGCTGCGAGATGCACAACTGCTTTAATCACTCCCGCTGCAGTCTAACCTCCGGATTTCCCGTCTATCTGTACGATCCAGACGAGCACAGTGTTCAGCGAAAGGGCTACGATATCGATGGTTTCCTAAAGACCACTCTAAAACAAACGTTAGGATACAATGCCCACATAGTCAAGGATCCCAAGCATGCCTGCATCTATTTGGTGCTGGTGGGAGAGGCTCTGCTCGAGCAGGATCTGCTGCGAAACAATCGCTATGCGGCGCAGGAGGCGGAGCATCAGCAGCCGTCCACACCCAGCCAGGCAAACGACTGCCCCGTGGACTTGGAGAAGCTCTACAGCCTGCCCTATTGGGGCGGCGATGGACGCAACCATGTGCTGCTCAACTTGGCCAGGCGAGATCTCACCTCGCATCGCACGAATCCGCTGTACAAGCAGAACACAATGCGAGCCATTGTGGTGCAGAGTGCATTCGAAAGGGATCAGTTCCGTGCGGGCTATGACCTAATTGTGCCGCCCATTTTGGGTCCTCCGGGCGGAGATGTGTGGCAGGAGTGCGCGGGAATGGTGCCGGCCAGAAGGAAATACCTGCTCAGTTACCAGGGAGAACTGAGGCCCAAACAGAGCGGTCTTAACCCTTTGGATGCCTTTATTCTGGAGCACCTGGCGGATATGGCCAAGGGCGCCACCCAGGATCAGTTTGTCCTGCAATTCCAGTGCATCCCGGCCACGGAGCAGCAAGAGGGGGATTCCCTGCCGGATTGGACGCTCTGTGGCTCGGATTCCTCGCGCCGGCAGTTGCTCAAGGACTCGACATTTTCTCTGATCCTTCCCCCGCTGAATGGCCGTGTTTCCTCCACTCTAATGCTGGCCAGGATCTATGAGGCTCTTCGCTCGGGAGCTGTGCCCGTAATCCTCGGCGCAGATGAGCTGCGTTTGCCCTACGCCGAGACTCTGGATTGGAGGAGATCGGCTATCTTGTTACCAAAAGCTCGGATCACAGAGCTGCACTTCCTGTTGCGAGCAGTTCAGGATGTGGATTTACTGCTGCTGCGACGACAGGGGCGACTCATTTGGGAGCGCTACCTGAGCTCCGTTCAGGCCACCGTGGACACAGTGATTGCCAGTTTGCGGGATCGCCTGGGCATTCCGCCACGACCAGTGCCCTCGGTGATAGCACAGAGTGTTTTTAACAGCACCTTTATTCCGCTAAAATCCGATCCCCCAGTTGGTTTGGATACGGAACCCGAGGAGTCGCTGGGCCCCATTGAACCACCCTATCCCAGTCCCGCTTTTCGGCGCAACTACACCATACTGCGGATGCAGGCGAAGGAGGCCTGGAACGATTGGTTGGATCCCTTTTACCTATACCCCCAGCTACCCTTCGATCCTGCGCTGCCCTCGGAAGCCAAGTTCATGGGCTCGCACACCGGCTTTCGTCCGATTGGCAAGGGACTCGGTGGAGCTGGCAAGGAGTTTGGCGAGTCACTGGGCGGAAACTATCCGCGCGAGCAGTTCACCATTGTGATGCTAACGTACGAACGAGAGCAAGTCCTGATGGACTCACTGGGCAGACTGTATGGACTGCCCTATCTGCACAAAGTGGTGGTGGTTTGGAATTCCCCAAAGCCTCCATTGGATGACCTACGCTGGCCGGACATTGGGGTGCCGGTGGCCGTGCTGCGGGCTCCCAGAAACTCACTGAACAACCGATTCCTGCCATTCGATGTGATTGAAACCGAGGCAGTGCTCTCCGTGGACGACGATGCCCATTTGCGGCACGACGAGATACTCTTCGGCTTTCGAGTGTGGCGAGAGCATCGCGACAGGGTAGTGGGATTCCCAGGACGCTATCACGCCTGGGATCTGGGCAATCCCAATGGCCAGTGGCACTACAACTCCAACTACAGCTGCGAACTTAGCATGGTGCTGACGGGAGCGGCGTTTGTGCACAAGTACTATCTCTACCTGTACACCTACCACCTGCCGCAGGCGATTAGGGATAAGGTGGACGAGTACATGAATTGCGAGGACATAGCCATGAACTTCCTCGTCTCGCATATAACGCGGAAGCCACCGGTTAAGGTGACCTCCCGCTGGACGTTCCGCTGCCCCGGTTGCCCGGTTTCCCTCAGCGAGGACGACACCCACTTCCAGGAGCGGCACAAGTGCATCAACTTCTTCAGCCGGGTGTTCGGCTATACGCCGCTGCTGAACACCCAGTACCGGGCGGACTCCATTCTCTTCAAGACTCGCATACCGCACGACAAGCAAAAGTGCTTCAAGTACATCTAGTCGTAAAACTGATCCCAGAACCCCAAATTCCGACAACGGCGGCCACTTCACTTACCTTAACGAAGTGATCACCAGCTGAATGACTCCTAGATGTAAGTAAAACTTATCAGGCATGTTCCGGTTTTCACAAATTTAATATCTAGCTAAAACTAAGTTCAAATTGACAGACCCCCTTAAATCTAAAGTATTCAGGGTTCGGAAATTGACACACATGTTAAAAACATGAAAAATTGTATTTTACAGTGTGAGCAAAATTGTTGACATGTGTGTCAAATACAAAAGTGCTAAAAATAATTGTTACCACACAGCTCACTTGTGTTTTTTCACAATTTGTTTTAACAGGACGTGTTTTTTACACACTGTGTTTTTAACACAAATGAAAATTACATCTCCTTGACATTAACGAATCGAAGGGGAAATGAAAAACCAATATGGGCCATAATATTTTATATGTTAGTTTTAACCATTTCAAAGCATATATGTATGAATTGTTATACTCTATGAAACCGTGCATTTTTCAGTTCAACATATAATTCTGACACTTATATGTCAAAAACTCATTTTGTTAAAAACACGCTGTGTAAAAAAAACGTCGTGTTAATAAAAAGTCGTGTAAATAACACAAATGACATGTGTGTGTTATTTATATTTCTAACATATGTAGGATACAATTTTTTACACACAAGTCAATAACTTTTTTTTTAACATCTTATCTGTTATTTTTCGAACCCTGAAAGTATTGATTAGAATTTTAACCAAAGTTGTGCAATACAGGGTAATTGCCCATTTTTAACCTAGGAAACACCACCTGAATTATGTTATAAAAGTTTAAAAACATTTCTGATTCAAGTAGACTATATATTTTAATTAGAAAATTTTGAAACCCTCCTATTTACTATCACACAAAAGTGATTTCAAAACGAACAAATCTTTCAATCTGTGGAAACCAGAACAAGCTCATATGTATATACTCTATTTGACCTAAGTATGGCCGTTGATAAGCCAATGGAGATTACGCAGCTCGCTTTTGTTTGATCCATTAATTACTTCGCATGGCTTTGTATGACTATCAGCCACTTTCTGAACTACACTTTCGATATCGTAGAAAGCTGAACATCTTGAGTAGATACCAAAACGAATTCTGAGACTTTTTAGTGTGTTTGCTTAATTAGACGTAAGTTGTGTACCGATTTTGACTTTGTATATAGTGCTTAATAAACGAAACTATATGGCTAAGAAAAAATACACGTCTTTTCTTCATGATTATTTCATATATTTTCTTCATTTACACAAAAGGGTGACGCATGATGTCAGTGGGTATTAGTATAAATAATGGGTAATGCTGATTAGTGGATACATATTAAGGACACGCACTCATGTGGTTGCGGAAGATATGCGAAAGACATATCTTCCAGCTACCACACGCACTTAAGTTTAAGATCGTATCTACCAGATACTAGATACATTTGCAAAAGCTACAGCTACGAGGACTACTTTTTGGATGCAATGGTATATTTAGGGTGGATCCTTCGGTTGCGAGTGGACGAGTTGAGACCAGGCGACAGCTTCCCGCTTGCGTCCCGCTTGTATCACAATTCAAAACAAGGACAGGGGCGTAGAAGGAGGCGAGGGGGAACTTAAAGTACTCGTATTATTTATACAACTTAGTCCGAAGTTTACACTAGAAATGAAAATAACTTCAATTTGGAATCGCCGCTGGGATATATTAGTGCTCCTGCAGACTGAGCTTCAGCGCCTGCTCGATCATCTCCTGCTCCTGCTGCCGCTCCAGCTCGAACTTCCGCTGTTCCTGCTGCGACAGTCGCATGGCCATGGCCAAATCCGGATCCACATACCGGAATCCCCCGTCGTCGTCGTCCTCGGAGGCGGGCGAACCGCTTTGGGGATTCGCATGGGCGCCCAGCAGCGACTCCTGGAGGACTCTGCAATCGATAAGGGCAAAGGGCACAAGAACACACAAAGCTTGGATCAAAACTAGCAATACAAAAGGAGAAGGGTGTGGGTTTTTTATCGCTACTTGAAGATCTTCTTCATGTAGCCCAAATCGTTTTTGAACTGGGCACCCGCCGACGAGGATCGCCCACGTGCTTGCGGCTCCAACTGGAGTTGCGAGTGGGGAAAGGACTGGGGATGGTGCTTGGGTGAGGGCGAATACCGCCCGTACTGCTGGCGGTGGGGGGACAGTAAGTGCGAGGAGAAGCGGTGGCCACTAGCGTTTACCATTGAGGGAAGTTAGTTTTGGTCATTGAACAACAGAATCCCGAAAAACAAGAGCAAAAGTATCCCAAAATCCCAACCTACCGCTGCAGTTGCTCGTCATCCTCCGGCAGAAGATCGGATCCCACGACGTTTTGGCCCCTTAGCACTTCCCAGATGTCCACCTTGTCATCGTCCCTGGCGTCCACGCCGCAGGCTCCACTTGTTTCCACCAAACTCTGCTCGATGGCATACTGTAGCATATCGTCCTCATCCAGAGGAATCTGCCGTCGGACATCGCTGCCTCTGTTCGTATAGTGAGCCGGAACATCGAAGCAGCGATCGTCCACCAGGCAGGTAACCCGATCTTGCTCCTGCAGCGTGGCCACGTGCTCCACCGGTGTGGTCAAAGCAAATACATTTCCAAATGTGATACAAGCGTTGAGGACATGGAAGAGCGGGATTTCCACTTTGACGGGAAAACCGGCAGGCAGCTGCATTGTGATAAAGTCCCTCAGCTTTGACACATGTGGACTGGCCATGGTGGACATGAGGTCCAGAATGGGAAGCACCTGTTCCTGCAGTCGAATGGGATGCTCCTCGGCCAGCCACAAATTGGCCTTGAAGCGCTGCACCTTTGTGCTCAGATTTTTGGGACCGCCCACGTCCCTTCCGTGGAGATCGACCTCCGGAGTGAAGTACTCCTCCGGGGTAACAGAAGACTTGGGTGTACTGGTGCCCGAGGCACAGGCGGAGCTGCCGTTGCTCTCATTTCCGGGGGCGGGTGAGATTCGGCCACCATTTTCGGCTCCACCGACGGAACCTTCCACCAAACGGGGAGAGGGTGTCTGGAAATTGGAAATTAATTAAAGGAGGTAATCATTAAATATTAATCCTTCAACTAACGCGATCTTTGAGTGCAGCGGCGGCATCAGCGGGGGACACATAGTCCTCATCAGCAATTCCCAGCAGACTGTGAAGCGGAGTTCTCGCTGTCTTGTTCTAGAAGATATACAACATTAAATTTAAACTTTACATTTTTTTATCTGTATATGTGCTCCGTGCTTTCACCTTCAAGCACACATTTAAATCTTTGTAAAATGTAGCTTAGAGCGGCTGCAATCGAACTTTGAGTGATATTCTTAAGCGAAATAATCATAATCATTATTTGTAAGCGATATTTTTTTTAGCTTACTGTTCTTAAAACTCATAAATAATGATTCTTTCTGATACATCTTTATAAAACTCATAAATAATGATTATTTCTAATTTGTTGGAATATCGCTTATAATGATTACGGTCCCTGATCTAAAGTCAATAACACCAAAATATATATAATATAATATAAAGTGGCTATTAGCCTATCTATAAGATAAATATCACCACAGATCTAGCAATTAGCAAATGGGCGTGAAGCGAAAGATATAATCAAAACAAGGCTGTTTACATATGTAGCTCAAATGAATTAGCTTTCACAATGATTACATAAATTATAATGAAAGTATATTTACCTTGATCTGCTCCTCGCTCAGGTGATCCATTCGCGTCTTGGTGACGAACTCCACATTGCTGGCCCCGTACACTTTGCAGTTGTAGCCATTGATCATCTCCGATTTCTCACTACGCCAGCCCCAAATTCCACTCTTGTTGCGCTCGAAACTGATCTTGTCCATCTCGATGTTATTGGTAATCACCGGGGCATTGAGACGAGCCCTCACAGTTCCCAAAGCAGGTGGTATGGCCACAATGTCGCCGATGTCGCTACTCATCTCCTCCACCATCACCTCGTTCGTGTCGTGATCGATCTCGATCATCGTGGCAGTTTCTTCTGCAAGGGAAAATTTGGTGATAAGATTTGGTTTGTAAAATAAGGTATAGCAAAAGATTAACTTATATGCTAAAATTTGTTGTTGAGTTTAAACCTTAATAAATTAATTAATCTACTCTAAGATTAAAATGTATAATAACATCAAATGATGAATTCTTTTAAAAGATTTTACAATAGCCTAATTCTTATTATGGAAACTAAACTAACAAACCTTAATTATGATCAGGTAGAATTTATTATTATCATACAAAAAAATTTCGTATAGTAATAGATTAATAAAACCTTTGTATGATACATTCTATGAAATAAATTAATTAATCTTACTCTAAGATTATTGACAATAAATTTGATTCTTTAGTCAAAATTTATGATAAAATCAAATAATGAAATAATTTAAAACTTTCTTATAATAGCCTTATTCTTATTATGGAAACTCAACTAATGAACCTTAATTTGTTTAATTTAAAAAACTTGTTAAGTAATAGATTACAAAAAAAATGAAATATTTTTATGAATATGAATGCAAAAATAAATATAAATTAATGAAATATTTCCATAATTATTAAAAAAAATGTATCCACTTACTGAAACTACCAAATATGCCCTAGAAATATCTTACTGGAAATTGTAACTGAAAAATTGTACGTATCCCTACATATATTCGCTATATATTTGATCCCCACTTACTGGCTCCCTTAAAGATGTAGGAGCGGTTGCCCCGTTGCCAGGTGTTGTTGTCGAAGCCCAGCAGAGTGGTATCTATCCGGACGTTGGCTCCCCGCTTGAAGACCTTGTAGGTGTCGCTGGGGCAGAGCCGCGACATCAGGGGCACCCACGAGGTGAACTCCCACTTCATCTCGATGTAGAAGTCGGGGGCATCCAGGAGGTGCTGCAGCAGCTTGGGCACATGCGTCACCCGCTGAACATGGCGTTGGAGATCTCGGACCTCGATGATGGCCGTCAGGATGTCCACGTCGCCGGTGCAAACGGCCTCCTGGACAACTGAAGAGAAGGATTAGTGGGGGTTCTTTCCAGTGCTTCTTTAGCTGTACTCACTAGACCATCCTTCGTGCTCGTAGGTGGCACTGCATTTGGCCGCCAGGAGGCATTTAACGCACGCCAAATTGACCAATCGCACGGCCAGCATCAGGGGCGTGCGTCCGCGGGGATCGATTTTCTCCTTATCGTTCTGCAAGGTGACGGAATCAGTGGTTTTTATCGCAGTGCCATTTCCCCGTGCCCTGCTAATTCAATTAGCACCTGTCCCAGGGGGCCACACCCCACTCCCAACCCCCTTTTCACCTGCTCGATGGCCGCCTGCAGCTCCTCCAGTTCGTTGTGCCAGATGTGCCAGTGCAGCGGGTACTCCGCCTTGATCTCCTCGACGCTCCTCATCCTGGTTCTGGATCTGCGCCGTCTGCTCTGCGGCTAAATGGCAATTTCTTTTGTTTCTGGGCTCCGTGGAAAAAAAAACAAACTCTAAGGGGCGGAAGTCTGGTCACACTGCGAGCGGGCCATCGATAGGCGATTAGAGGTGGTAAACGTGAAACGCCGGCAAGCGATATATTGTTGGGCGAAAATAACGATACTTTATGGAAGTTCAAATTTTTGTTTTAAAGTATAAATTTATAAATGAGGCATATTTTAATTTTAAAAGTATGCTCTTAGGTTGAAAAATGAATGTATTTAAAATAATTAAAAATCCGAAATCAAATAAACAAACATTTAAAGTAAATTTAAAATATTTATAAAACTCGAACTACTGTTGAAAATTTTAAATTTCACAAAATGCAATTAAAAAAGGCTGTTTTTATTCCAAGTTGCAAATCATTCGCGCATAAACGGTGCGATAGTTCGAGCCATCACTTTGGCCATCTCTACCTGCCATCGATAGTCAATAACAACATTGACAGCTGTTCGGCAGAAAATATTCCAAATCGCATTAATTGCTCCGAAACAGAGCGAAATTAACGTTTCCCAAGCTTTTCCGCTTCGAAAAGAGGAAAAGTTGCTGGCGCGTGAGTGGTAAGCTTGATTAGGAAATTGGTGTTTTTCCCCTAAAACAACCTTCAAAGAAATTACATAAAAAATGGATACGCCACCTAAAAAAGGGGGATTGTGGGTGAGCCCTAATGGGTTAATGAGATTAGGCGGAGTGAGAGGGGTTAAAAAGGTGTCATATGTAGTTTTTCACATAATTTACTTTTCTTTTATTCATTCATATTTTCCACGGAAACCCACAATGGACACACTTAGCGCCCCCCGGCCACGCCCACCTACTTAACTGAATTTTAATCAGCTTTCATATTTTCTATTAATTTTAGGTCATCATGCTAATGGCGTAGAGAGGCTTTTTCCATCGCATTTCGCACGCTTTTATTCGGCTGACGACCAGAAGCTCTCCTTTCAAGTAAGAGTAATTGCCAATTTAGTCGTTAATTGGCCACAAGTGTAATGCATTATTGCACTTGTTCGTGAAAAAAAATCGCTGACTTTGCGAGCTATCAGTTTGGGGAGAAACTTTGCTCAGAGCTCAACGCGCTTATCCAGCATTTAAAGTTGAAACAAAGAAATTATGATTAAAATTTGTAAACCGGAAGCGAATCTCCCCGCTCGATAGGCGATCGCCGATAACCGATCATAACTTGCACTGTTTGGCGGTTCTTTTAAACTGTCTCCTCGATATGATCGACTTACTAATGCTCTTTCTTAATTATTTACTCTTTGCAGTTATGCTCTTCACGCGCCGGCGACAACTCAAGAGGTGTGTTGGCTTGTGTAATTGTGTGTTGTGATCCCCCATATATATATTTGTTTTTCCCCGATCCCGATTAACCGACCACCCGACGAATCCGCTTCCGTAGTTTTTGCTTCCGAACTCCCCCAGAAAAGTTACGGGCCTCCAAGTATTAGTCACGCTCGAGTAGCACTCATATCAGATATCATTATACCGCCATTATCATTTTAGTAGTGTTCATTGACAGGTAAGGGTGGCTCGATTTTATTGAAAGTGATTCGGAAGCGGCGAAAGTAATCTTTGGAGAATTATAAACCATTGTAAAGTGTAAAGGTGCCACAAATATATTTGTTAAAGTCGAAATATTTATATTCCTATCATTATTTTTACGTTAATACGTTAATACCCATGTTGCAATGTGGTGCCCAATTTTTCGAGATAGTGATTCAACGAAAGTTATTCATAATCAATAGTTTCTGCGGACTCGTGAACTCTTGGAATAAAAATTATAGTGAAGTAATAACGAATCAAAAGTGAAAATTTTAGATTTAACAGATTTATTGAGTCTATATTTTTGTGTTATAAGTTGAGTTAATTACTTAGTATATTTATAAAAAAATTTATATAGAGAATGTTAGGAATTATAGGAAAAATATCATCCAGGGATGGCTCTTTGCATGCATTAAAGATGAGCCACCCTAGTACTCGCCCTTCGCTTATTCATAATTCATGTGTAGTCACCCGATCACCTAACCACTCACCCAAATCGAAAACTTTGTCAGCGCTTAACCCCTCTGGTGCAAAGGTCGCTCTCCGGAGGAACAGTTCTTGGGTCCGGTACGGTGTTGCATGCGTTCAGTGTAATGAATCCCCCTGCAATAAAAAAAACAAAACAACTATCTGATTTAACCAAGTAATAACCAAGTAATTTGTTTATCTCTCTTTTCGCCCGGGAAAGCTCCACACAAAACAAAACGCACAAAATCAGTAACATTCAGTGCTAAGTCGCTTTTCCCGATAGATCGATATTATCGCTAACTATATTTTAAGCAGAATAAGCAGAACGGAAGTAGAACAATCGCAATGTACGAGCTTCATAATTGCCTACGGTCCGTTTTCTTTGCCACACTCATTCCCGGAACGATCCTACTTAGTTGGCTAACTGGTCTGTAAGTATCCACGCTCGATTCGATGTTGTGCGCCTGTATAACGACGACATAACCCGAACCCATTCTTCTGATTTTTGATCTAAACATCGTGACATCGACATTCTTTACGCGGATATCGCCGGCTCTGTTCCGTTTCCGCTTTTCCGTATATATCCGCTTTGCTTGCCACCTAAATGTACATAATTATATCTGATCCCTGATCCATCCCGCCCACACTCGCACCAGCTTGCTCATCTTTCATATTGTGTTGTCACTCAGTGTTAAAGCTATTGTTATTCCCACCCCCTAAGCCACCTAGTCGCCCTGTACCTCTCATCAATTCACATTTTTCGCAGAGTGGGTCTGCGATCTCTGCAAGCATGTCTGCTGATCTTCTTCCTGATCTTCGTGGCCCTGCCTCTGATATTTCGGTACTCCGTGACATTTCAACGCGGCATTCTGTTCCTCACATTCAGTAAGTATTTTAAAAGATCTTAAGATTAATTATAAGGTGTCCAGAAAGGAACAAAAATTGACCGCGAATTCTTAAGCATAAAATTATTCAATGTAATAATTCAGAAACTGTTCCTAAATATCATATAATTAAAGTACAAACCAAAATCTCAAATATCATATGATTAATTATAAGGTGTCTAAAAGGGGAAAAAAATAGTCCGCGAATTCTTTAGAATAAAACAAGAAAGGAAGCTAGCTTCGGCCAGCCGAAGCTTATATACCCTTGCAGATCATTCCTATTAATTAACAAATCGCAAAAATGTTCAATTTTCTAATATTTCTCATTAATTTTCCGATCGTTCCTATGGCAGCTATATGATATAGTCGTCCGATTTTGATTAAATTAAAATTGAAATTCGGAAATATTTAAAAAGAGTCATATCCTAGAGTAGAAGACAATACAATAAAAACCAAAGAAGCTAGAATTTATTTCCTATTACTTTTCCATTAATTTTCCGATCATTCCTATGGCAGCTATATGATATAGTCGTCCGATTTTGATTAAATTAAAATTGAAATTCGGAAATATTTAAAAAGAGTCATATCCTAGAGTAGAAGATAATACAATAAAAACCAAAGAAGCTAGAATTTATTTCCTATTTCTTTTCCATTAATTTTCCGATCGTTCCTATGGCAGCTATATGATATAGTAGTCCGATTTTTTAAATTATTAATTCGAAATTCAGAAATATTTAAAAAATAACATCCCCAAAAGTAGAAGGTGATATTTCAAAAACACCGAAGCTAGAATTTTTTAAACGTTTTTTTCCGATCTTTCCTATAAGAGCTATAAGATATAGTTGTCCGATCCGGTCGGCTCCGACATATATACTACCTGCAATAGAAAGAAGACTTTTGGGAAAGTTTCATCCCGATAGCTCAAAAACTGAGAGACTAGTTTGCGTAGAAACAGACAGACGGACAGACGGACAGACGGACAGACGGACAGATGGACAGACGGACAGACGGACAGACGGACAGACGGACAGACGGACAGACGGACATGGCTAGATCGACTCGTCTAGTGATGCTGATCAAGAATATATATACTTTATGGGGTCGGAAACGCCTCCTTCACTGCGTTGCAAACTTCTGACTGAAATCATAATACCCTCTGCAAGGGTATAATGATTCAATGTATTTATCCCACATTCTGTAAGTCTTCTATAGATTTGATAAAAAATCATATGATTAATAATGTGATTTCCAAAAGGGGGAAAAAATAACAGCGTAATTCGTATACTCATAAAATTAAAGAATTATTACAAATAAAAATTTCAAATATCATGTGATTAATTATGTAATGTCTAAAAGGGAACACAAAATAAACCGCGAATTCTTTAGCATTAATTCTTAGTCACAGTCAAATAATTAAATACATTGGAAAATTCTTCACGGCTTAATAATTCTCAATTTAATCGAATGCCTCTCCTTTCTTCCAGTTAAGTACCCCAAAGGACTGGATCTCACGAAGCCAGAGAGCGTTGGACTGTATGCCACACGGAACTTTTACATCACCGTCAAGGATCACGATCAGGACGAGGATGGAGTGCGCGTTGGAGTGTGGCATGTCCTGCCCAGCAATGCAGTGCGTCGCTTTAAGCGCGAACTCCGCGTGGAGGAGGAAGTGGCTCACGATCTGGACCAGCAGTTGGAGCACTCACCTGGCAACGAACAGGAGCTAAAGGAACTGGCGCCAGTGATACGCTCTGAATTTCCCCAAGTGCGGCCGGAAAACGAGCAGCTCTTCTACGAGCGATTGCTGCGAATGCCAGGAGGCACTGTGGTCCTCTATCTCCATGGAAACACAGCCAGTCGAGGCAGTGGCCACCGATCGGAGGTGTACAAGCTGCTGCGGAAGCTCAACTACCATGTGTTCTCCTTCGACTACAGGGGCTATGCGGACTCGGATCCTGTGCCTCCGACGGAGGAAGGCGTTGTGCGCGACGCGATGATGGTGTTTGAGTATATAGCCAACACCACCTCGAATCCAATCGTGGTCTGGGGTCACTCCCTTGGGCACCGGAGTAGCCACGCATCTGTGTGCTAAGCTGGCCAGTTTGAGGGAACGGGCTCCCAGGGGAGTGATCCTCGAGAGCCCGTTCACCAACATCCGGGACGAGATACGCATGCATCCGTTCGCCAAGCTCTTCAAGAACCTGCCCTGGTTCGATTTCACCATCTCGAGGCCCATGTACAGCAATATGCTGCGGTTCGAGTCGGATGTCCATGTCCAGGAGTTCCACCAGCCCATAATGATCATCCATGCCGAGGACGACGTGGTGGTGCCGTTCCACCTGGGCTACCGGCTGTACAGGATTGCCCTGGACGGCAGAAGTCGTGCCTGGGGACCCGTGGAGTTCCATCGCTTCAAGGCCAGCCTAAAGTACGGACACAAATACCTCTGCCGAGCACCGGAATTGCCGGGACTGATCCAAACGTTTGTGGAAAACTACCGCAATTCCGTCTACTAGACGCTATCATCGGGACATTAGTTTACGTATAAGACTATTATTCTAATTTAATTTTTTACCGCCATCACTGACACGTTCCAAAATTTCCGCCCTGTGCAAGCAAATTAAAGCAGTCGAGAGATACGGACAAAGTTTTGAGTTTCATTTGCACAAACGGGAGCGAACTTTTGTTTGTTTTATAATTTATATATCTTAATTATTAAAAGAACCCCGTTTAAAGTCCTGAAATTACATTTTGAGGAAAGCTAGCTTTGGCAACCCGAACTAAAGTTATAACAAAAATTGATTGGTGTATCACAACTGTAGAACGTACATAGTTTTAAGATATGAATAAAATTCTAGAATAAACTTATCTTGATTTTTAATGATTGTACAAATCACTTTGTATATTCCCTATAATGAAACAATAGTGACGATCGCATCTGCAACATACTGATATCAATTTTTGTGACGAATATTTATCATACGATCCATTCAGTAAAAAAAGCTTTTTATAAATTTATAATGTAAAGCCCCCAAATAGCGAGAAATTCAAAAAATTAGAAAAGGCGCCAGTTTCACATTCCACTGTTCCACAATAGACGACGAGTTCGATGTTTCTAGTTATCGATGTTTCTCCACTTCTTATCTGGTAACGATAAATGTAAGGGGAATGTTGGATTTTTTAGGACATTTAAGATTCAGAGGGAGGACGTTTCCAATGCATTACCATCTGGTAACACTGTCGCGAAAAACGAATCGAAACGGAACCCAAAGCGGACGACTGTTTTTTCCGGGGAAAAACGCCGCCTTTCATTTGATTTGTTTGGTGCTGTCGCGGAAAATGACACCGCCAAACACCAGCGATTAGCTGTGAGTGATTGTTTAGATAGTAATCGCCAATAATAGAGCTCGAAAACACGACAAAAGCTCGCCGAGTTACTTGGGAAAAAGGAGCTAAAGGAAGAGAACATCCTCGGCTCGCCAAAAGTGCGTGTATGTGTGTGTGGGTGTACTATTATTAACAAATATTAAGCCACTGCTAAGGCAAAAACTCTATTTCGCGTCGAGAGAGAGCCGAGAAAAATTGGTGTCTACTCCTTGAAAAGGAGTTTTTCGCTTCTTTCTCTCTCTCCCCCGCCCGCCCTCTCTCTCTCTCGCTGTATCGCTCACTCACTCACTCTTTAACTGTGTTTGTTTCGGTGTGCGTGTGTGTGTGCCCGGGCTGCAAATTAAAACCCAAAAGAAGTCGAGCATTTTAATTAAAAATCTAAATCACGATTATTTTCTAAACCGCCAGAGAGGTGAAAATTGCAATTCGCTCACTCTCGCTCTCTCCGTTGGAAGCTGAAGAAGAAGTAGCAGAGCAGACGCCGCACACCAATACCAACGTATTTTCGCTGTGGAAACGGAATCGACCAAAATGTTGTGGTAAGTTTTTGTTGTGTTTCTTTTTCGCTGTTTTTCAGCAAGAATTTATTTTTAATCCAGGAAATGCATTTCATGGTTTTCCCCCATTTTAATCGCTTTTCCATTATTTTGGGCTGCTGTTTTATCTTTGGAAAACCCCCTTTTTGTTTGCCAATTTCCTCCTGCTCCCTTTTTCTGCTGCTACTGCTTCTTCTTCCTATACAAACACGCCCTTTTTTGCGCACCTCTCCTTTTTCCCATATTTGCGTGTGTGTGTGTGCGAGGGCAGTTTTTAGATAGTTTCGCCAACATTCAAATTCGCTTAGATTTGCGCAAATTAAGTGGGCCCTTTAAAAACAGCTGTCGCTACCCAGGCTGCTTCTTCATTTTTTGTTTGCCTGCACCAAAAACCTGTTTTCATTTTTTTGCAGGGGCTGCCGTGGAGTAAAGTTTTAGGGGGTAGCTTTTACTTAAGTTGGGACTTGTTTAAATAACAATGTTTATTAGTAGCTTTTGTTTTAAAATTATATTTATAACAACAACTTTTGGTGGTGGACCTAAACCCCTCTTGGAAAAGCCTCTGATTTTATGACTTTTCCTATGCTTGTGGGGGGGCTGGACGACGAAGAGGAAGAAGAAGAGGGGCAGCTGTTCCCCATCGACTTTGCTTTAATTACTTCTTTAGCTCCCCTCTCTCGGCTGCATTTGTTGTTGTTATTCTTCTTGTTTTGGCTGCAAATGCGCTGCTGCTGCTTCTTCTTGGCTTCTTTCGCCGCAAAACAAACAAAAACCTGCCAAATGGGAAGGAGTAGAAGAGGAAGAGAGAGGCGGAGAGAGAGCCTCCAAAAAAGAGAGACAGAGAGAGAGATGCGCAGATTGTGCGGGTGGGGCAGCCTCGATTTTCCTCCTCTTCTTCGTGTTTGTTTGAACTTTAATTTATGCCACAGCTCTCCAGTCGCCGCTTCCTCTGCCGCCTCCCCTTTTTCGGCCGCAAACATTTAAATGTCAATGCACCAGCAAGCAACAGCAGCAACAACAAACCAAGACTACAAAACTCCTTTAGCCCTGAAATGGCAGCCAACTTTGCCATGACTCATTTTTCGGCTTTTACACTCGCTTGCCAAATGAAGCGGGCCAAAGACCCGGACCAGAAAAAAAACAACACAACACTCATAGGGCCCAAAACTAAAACCCGTTCGCAAATAGGCTGAAAATCAGCGTTTCAGACCAACCAATGCAAGGCAAAACCCCAACTTTTAACTACCACTATTTCAAGGTATCTTTCCACATTCTGAACTTAAAATTTTTTATAAACAAAAACTTTAATTTAAACGAAATTATTTTTTAACTGTGATGATATCATAAGCATAGCAAACGCAATGGATCCTTTGGTTTTCTAATATTAACAAAGGTAAAACTTATTTTAAAAAATTAAGATTGCTAAAAAAAATAAGCTAACTGTTTCAAAAGTAATTTTTATTTTCTTCTTTAGAGCTCATATTTTATCTATCTCAGTAAAACTAATTTAGACATCGATATAGAATAGTTAAAGACTTTAACTTAAAGTTGATGAATTTAATAAAAATCTGCAATATTTATACCGTTAAAAGATTACTTTATTGTACAAAATATTATTCGCTGTCCGTAACTCGAGTTGTCATATGATAATTCGAGTAGCGGAACTTCCACTGCGCCCAGAAATTTGCATTTCGTTCGCTACCTACTATTTATTCACATCTTTTTGGCCTACTCTTCATTCTTCTATTCCCTCCTTTTGGTCTTTCCCTCGGGGCAAACCGATTCCAAAACACATGGCCGCATGCAACGCGGATTTCGTAATTGTTGCATTAGAACGGGAAAGGTGCAACGAAGAGGGGAGCGATAGAGAGAAAGAGGGTGTGACGACACAGTTATTTGAACACCGTTAGCCCAGTTTTCCAGCTGCTACCAGATAAGATAAAAAACTTAAGTAAACCCCGAAAAAAACGGAAAACAAAACCAAAACACACATGTCCTCGCTTTACGATTCGCTTTGGTTAATAACAAACAGACAATATGCTCCCCATTTGTAGTTGTTTTTTTTTGCTTGCCCCATTTCCATTTTATCAGCTTTTAAATGTATTACAGTCCTACCTCCCTATGTTGGTCATTTTAATGAGGTATTTAAGTACAGTATATATCGAATTAATCATTAAAAATTTTAATCACCAAAAATCTGTCAAATTCTATAAATATTTTTTATTTTTAAAACTATAAATAAATTTAAACTACATTATTGGAGTTGTACTGTATCTAAGGTACAATAGAGAGATAGCACTTCTTCCCTTGTTTACATATCGTCGCTGTTGTTTTTTGGCATTTTTACGATGACTAAAAGTTTGGTACGCAGGGCCATACACAAAAAAGAAGTTCCAGGTATTTCGGGCGGATGCATCGAAAAGAAACTACACCGAGAAATACCTTAAAATCTGAATCATCAACTGGACGCGTCAACTTTTTGTTTTTGTGACTAACCGCGGTGTCATATCAGGCAGCTTTGGCTGTAAGCAAAACAAAGAGCGAATCGAAGAGTCTGTGATGGTTGTCGATGCATTGACCCCTGAACTCTGAGAGAGATGTCTATAGGGAACCACCCACATGGATGCCACAACAAATCCAATTAACATTTCCGCATTGTTGTTGCCACGGCTTGTCCACTTCCACTTCCACATCCATTTCCTCCCACTCTCCACTCGAGCCATCCAATCCAATCCATTTCAATTCAGTTCGCATCGGAATCTGAATCTGTATTTGAGTTATGGAGATGCGGGACCAACATGAAGAGCCTAGGAATCTTGAGACATCTTTCTGTCCCTCTCCCTCTTTCAAGTTTTTTCTCTGTCTTACCGCTAGCTTCCTTCCACTTGGCCAAGGAAATGGCTCGTGACACAGTTCTTTTGTCTAATGACTCTATAACTAAAACTCTATGGAACCACAACAACCAGCCAGCAATTGCATGGCCATTTTTCAATAAATCAATTGCACATAGAGAAAAACTTGGCCTAATATCGGTTAATAATTTCTTTGTTAATTCTTGAAAAAACCTTATGAACTAACAGTTTCTTTTACTAAAAATTTTAAAATATTATATTAAACCAGTTATTTGTCTAAAAATGTATTAAAAATATAAAATGAAATGCAGTTTTTATTCAGATGAGTTTTAAATATAGAGAAGAAATCGGTTCTCAGTTTATAAATAGTAAATTAACTCAAACATATTAATTTTATTACAACCAAAACGCTTTTAAAAAATATATTAAAAATTTATTTAATTTAAAATTATAGCTTTTGTAGTGAAAAGATTTACCTAAAATTCAAAATTATTATATAAATATTTTTCTCAATGCATTAAATATATTTATTAAACGCCGGCTGCATAATTCATGATCCACAGAAGCGGAGACCGGCAATCGGAATCGGATGTGTGGAACGTGTTTGGGTTTTCTCATTAGAGAATACCCCTTCATTTACCCCTCTGCCGTGCTGACTAATTAATATCTTTCACTTGGCCGCTTGTTGATTCAACCAGTTGTTTTTGTTTATCTCTCTGGATTTGTGTGTCTGTTTCGCCTCTTCACATTGTTCTGCGCGAATTCAGGAAATGATTTGATCTGATTTGATTGGATATCGGCAAAATTATTTTGCATGTGACTCACACAAGCTGAGTTAGACAGATAAAATAATCTTATCTTGGATGGAATTT